GTGTGTGTTAGCACGTTATTGGTTATTTTTAATTTAAAAAATGGGGCGCAGGAGATCACACTGCATTGCACTACCTAGTATGAGTCATACTCTCAGGAAAGGCGGTGTGTGTGTTTTCATATGGAAATACCACTATCCAATATGTCTCACACCGGCGGATGCTGCATATCTCCTGAAAAGGGTGTCTTGTGAATAAAGGACCACTTTCACTTGGTTGGTGTCTTTGCATACCTATTTGAACAATCTTGGAACATGTTTATTGTGTTTATTGTATTTTGTTACTCTGGCACAACAATTTCCTTCGGAATAAATAAAGTCTTATCTTATCTTATCAGTCAAAACAGAAATGTACATTTACTAACACATCAGGTTGTGTGTATTGCAGACTTTAGACTGTACAGTAGATGGTGAATGTTTATGAGATTGCAGATGCTTTTAAACTAGCTTATGTTTTCCAGTCACTCAACAGTGGAACGTTATGTGGCAACAATGCACATTTAAGAATAATTGAATAAAAATGATGGCTGCACTGCACAATTAATTAATTAATTCTTATAATCTAAATGGTAATGTCTCGATTTGTTTAAAACGCATTAATTATATAAAATGCCCCTATTAGCTTTTGGTTGGGCTGCACAATTCATCTTAATTAATTTGATCTAAATCTCAACATGGACTAGTGCAATATTGAAATTGCAAAAAAGAATCATAAAATGTGTTTTACTTAAGCACCTGCACTTACAATGATATTTCTTGTTTGAAGTCAGCACTATTCTTGATGTCCTTAATTTGAATCTTTATGTTTTTTTTCACATATTTTAAATCGCTTTGCAAAGCGTCAGCTAAATGCTATGTAATGTAAAAATGTAATGCAACAAAAGCAATATTTATTAAAGGAAATATTCCAAGTGCGGGGGTGCTTGCAGAGAAGTCTCGGCCTACAATTAGTATTCTACAGAATTAATAAAAATATATTTAGTTTTTTACAGATCCTCTTATTAAAAAAAAACCCACCACAATAGTTTTAAAGGTCCCATGTCATGCTTTTCTGGTTATTACCCGTCCCCTTGTGTGTTATGAAGGTTTTTATGCATGTAAACGGTCTGCAGAGTCACAACCCCTCAAAGTACACCCTGTAGCGAGTAAAACTCTAACACAGAAAATACCTGTCTATGCTGCCCCAGAACACCTCGTTGGAGATTTATCTTTTTCTTCCTGGGTACAGTGACGTGCCCATACCCAAATGGACCCATTGGTCCAAATGGACCAATCCGTGAAGCCGTTACGTTACGTCTGTGGAGCCGTTAGGTTAAGTCCGTGGACTTCCTCACACACATACACTCAATCTTTTCTCAGCTGCAGCTCCACCAATTTCTCCTCCCTGAGACGGCGGGACGCGGCGAGGCTGTGAGTCGGTGTGTGTGTTCGGGCTGGTTTCGGGCTGGGTTTCACTGTGTCTCACTGTCTCGCAGACGGCCACTGGACTCATAGGGAGTGGGGGGGGGGCTGGCGCTCCAATAAGCCGTTTAGGACAAAGAGTGAATACACATACTATACAGAGATGCTGTATGAGAAACCAACCAAATGTGATTTTGGAAAATTGCACAATATAAATCTATTTTAGTATACCTCAACAATGGAATTATGATCAATAGAAATGGCCATGACATGGGACCTTTAATATATTTTTCATAATAATGAGGACAGTTTTGAAATACCCATCATCCCCTCTAACATGGCTAATCATATCACAATTGCAATCAGTCAACACTACCCTAATCATGCAGCCCTAATGAAAATCACTGGAGATGGCTCACTTTAGAAAATGTTGAGGAAAGCGTGGTTAACCCGTTAAGATGATGAGGCCTCACTATGTTTATTTTCCATGTTTTGCTCATGTTGCCACACTTCGTTAAAGCTGTGTCGATTCATCAGGTCTGCCAGTGTGTTCATGACTAGATGTACATGCATACTGTATGGGTCTCTTTGTCTGTGTGTGTTTGTATGTGTGTGTTTATTGTAGTTGTTGTAGTAGTAAACCGTCCTCAGCTGAACTCTCTGTGCTCAAGCTGGTCTAAATAAATCAATAAAAACATTGAGCTGCATTGAGACTTTTTAAAATGCTGGTGTCTGTTTATTTCCCAGAGCGCTGCCTTTACAGAGATGAGGGAAGATCTATACACAAACACACACACGTGCAGAAAGACACAACATTTGCTTCATTGGATTTGGCTGCACACACTCAGTAATAAAGGATTAGCGTTGTTACTGTAAGCTGTAGAGCTTTGATGACACACAGAAGATAGTAATTTTTCTTTGTCTCTTATGTCAAGCCTTTAATTGCCCTTACAATTCAAGGCCCTGTTTTAGAGTTCAGAGCAAGCTGTTGATAAAGTTAGAAAGCTGAAATGGAAGAAGACAAGGAATGTAGGTTATGCGAGGCATGCTAAACTCAGTGACCTTCAAAGTACTCTTGGCCTCTTCCTCCCCCTCAACATCTCTTCGCCGTTTGCTGATCTGCTTTCGCTATCTGCTGTTTACTGAAAAATATCTTAATTGAAGACCTAACAGTAAATCATTGGAGTTTTTAATCAATTTTCTTATGGGGTACATAGCTCCTGCTTTCGAGCTACTAACTAGACGGTAAGGGCCAGCAGTGAACCTTTGCGTGACAGTGTGTGTATGTGTGCGAGCATGTGTGTGAGTGGGTCGAGATCTCCAAAATGGCCTTTGTCGCCCGATTGGCAGAGTGGGGGCTGTTGTTGGCCTACAGGCTGGGAGCATCTGCCAAGTGGACAGTCCCAGGGCACGGAACAAGAGACTCCAAGATAGGTTCCTTGTTAGTGACGCATTCATAACTAATTCTATTAATGCGGACAGGGAAGCAGAGCGCAAAGCTGCTGAAACTCAGCCATGCCCGTTTGTTTTCACAGAGGCAAACTTAACCTCTGTATCTTTTTATATTTGCATGTCACAGCAGATTAACTTTCATACATGAAACAGTGATTCAATAAATCATAGGACCGCAACTGTCGTTTTTTTTACAACCTTCATTTGATCCTTTATTCTATAAAAAATAAGTCAATATCTTTTACTGCTTGTTTTGTCAATCCAAAACCATACTATATATCAAGTTTAATATGATAAATAGAACAGAAAAGCAGTAATTCTCCATATTTGAGAGGCTAAAGACTATTACAAATTACTTTAACCATTAACTTTTTGTTGATGATAACGATTCATTTGAATTCCTAAGGGGGAAGTTCTTATTCTTGTTCCACGTTATTCATTCCTAAACTCACATTAATGAAACCCAGTAGTAGAAGTAGCAGAAACAACATGGCTGCAGCTCTATAAAATGCCCTTGGTTCATAAAGGTTATCACTCTATTATCACATAAGATAACTATTACACAGAAAAAGACAAGGAGTACCTTGTACAGGGAAGGAGGATCAAAGGATATGGTGAGATATAAAACAGTAAATACATCCAGTGAGATGAGAGTCCAGTGTGTGTGTGTGTGTGTGTGTGTGTGTGTGTGTGTGTGTGTGTGTGTGTTGTGTGTGTGTGTGTGTGTGTGTGTGTGTGTGTGTGTGTGTGTGTGTGTGTGTGTGTGTGTGTGTGTGTGTGTGTGTGTGTGTGTGTGTGTGTGTGTGTGTGCTTCACCAAAAATGTTGCAAATATTCTATACACAAACAGACTAATGAACACACCCCCTCAGCATCAGACTGACGCAAACGCTGTCACATATGGGTCGGATGCTCATCAGTCACACTTACACAGGTTGACACATCATACGCATAGCTCTCCTCTTTTCTGTTGAAAAAGAAACGTTCTATTAACAAGACGTATATTCAGAGCGTGCGGATCTTTCTCAAAGGGAACACAGCTCAAAGTTAACATTAGTGTGTCAGTGAGGGGCAGCATCAACTAATTCAAATCATAGACTGAATTGTGCTTATTCTATGTTTCCTTTTTAATATTCATATATTGTCATATAGGTTTTTACAGGCACCTATCAAATTAAATCAATAAAAGCCGCATTTTATACGGTGACGACGTCTTTAGTGACAACTTTCTTATACAATGATGAACACATTCTATTAAGAGACTATACAAAATATTCACTTTTCGCAACAACTTGAGTATCCAACATCTAATGATTTTATAAATATTTAAATTGTTTGCAGTGACAATCCTGTCAAAACTTGACCACAGTCATAATAAAATCTAAGACATATCTTAGTTTATCATGCAGTGTTTTGTCCTGGAAGCTGTTATCTCTCAAACTTAAAAGCTCACTGATGCAGGAATGGGCTTTCTACAAAACACAGAAGTTGTGTTGTACTCTAGGAATATCTCATACCAACGGAGCAGGGGAGCCAAATGACGGGTTCCTTTTCAGGAGCAAATAGTGTACATAACAATGAAATGTAACACCAGCAACCAGTGTGAGGCAGGGAGCCCGTGAAGACCCCTGGAGCAGGTTCCTTTATGGCCTACAGTTGCTCCGCAGTCGTCACCCTGCTAACAAGGTTAGCGCCTCTAGCTGTTTGAACAGAGAGGCGGGTTACCGTGTGTTTGGACAGGCTGATAGCGGCTGGCTGTGGGCCACTACTCTAATCCACTGCTTGTATATTTCCTTGTTGGCCCTACACGAGTGTGAACATGGCCAGAGCTCGGGCCTGATGTGCAAACAGAGCTGGTGAAACACCCAGTATTGCATTACCACCTGCATATCTGTGTGTGTGCATTAACAAAGAGTGGCTGATAAGGCAAATATCTTCACAGAAATCATGAACACCTGATACTCAGAAGTGTTACTGTGAGATTTCATTTCTGATTTAGTATCCTCAACATCCAATTACATAACAAAGAAGCACAAGCTCTGTTTTGCATAATTAAAGCTATAACCAGCTGATTATATATATATATTTGTTTCTCACTGACATCAGGACAGCAGAGTTCTCAACACAGTTTTTGTTTGTGCTTCCCCTCAGGGCTGAAAACCTACCTGATCTCAGGAAGGAAGGTGGAGCTGGACGCTCAGTGTGTCTGTCCTCAAGTGGGACTGTCAGGTGGAGAGATGGGTGGGGTCGGCCTGTCCTCCTGTCCTCAGCCCGGCACACCGGACCTCATCCCCGGGGGTCCGCAGGCTGCTGAGCCCCCGCTGCGCCACCAACCCCTGGACAGGATCAGGGTAAGTCAGAAAAAATACAATGTGAGGGTTAAACATAATGAAAAATACATCTACTGTTTATTCTTCGATGTTGGTTTATAAAAAAAAGTGTGACCATGCATTATTATTTATGAAATAAAAAACATATGTTTTCTGTTAGCACATTTAACATGTCTCCCATATGTGACATACACATCCTGGTATTTTGATAAAATATAATAACTAAATAATATAAAAATCTGATTCTGATTGTTTGATAGATTATAAATAATATTTGTATAATTGTAAATTTGCCATTTGTATAAAGATATTCCTGTATTTTCTCTAAAATACTGTGTTTTTAAACCTTTTCATGCGTGTGATCATTGTAAAGGTACTTTGGATGTATCGTCCACCCCTTATTTGGAGTGAAAGAGTCAATGAGCTGTTGGCATATAATATACACTCAAACACTCCCGTCTAAGTGTTGTTATATCTTTCACTGCCTCTTCGTGAAATGTATTCATTTGTCAACCTCACTCCCCCCCACACTGTCCTTTGTCTCCCCAGCCTCCCTGTGTGTCCCGCAGTGTGACTTTGTCTCCGGGTGCAGAGCAGGGAGAAGATGTGGCCGTGCTGAACGGCTGCCAGGAGGAGCACAAGAGCAGCAGTGCCAAAGTACACACACACACACACACACACACACACACACACACACACACACCCCCACACACACACACACACACACACACACACACATACCATGTATACATCACTTCAGGGGACATTACATTGACTTACATGCATTTCCTGGAGACTTATCCTAACCTTAACCACATGCCTACCCTTACCCTAACCCTAACCCTAAACCTAAACCTAACCAAGTCTTCACCCTAACATTAATGATTCCCCTCATGGGGACCTCCAATTTGTCCCCATAAGGGAGGCGAGTCCCCACACGTGACTGTGTAAACAGATTTAGGTCCCCACAAGTATAGTAATGCTAGGCCACACACACACACACACACACACACACACACACACACACACACACACACACACACACACACACACACACATACCATGTATACATCACTTCAGGGGACATTACATTGACTTACATGCATTTCCTGGAGACTTATCCTAACCTTAACCAACACATGCCTACCCTTACCCTTACCCTATACCTAAACCTAACCAAGTCTTCACCCTAAAATTAATGATTCCCCTCATGGGGACCTCCAATTTGTCCCCATAAGGGAGGCGAGTCCCCACACGTGACTGTGTAAACAGATTTAGGTCCCCACAAGTATAGTAATGCTAGGCCACACACACACACACACACACACACACACACACACACACACACACACACACACACACACGCACACACTCACACACACATACAGTGACAGCACCATTGTTTTGTCAAGCATCATTTTAAGCATTTGTCACTTATTTTGTCCCTCTCTTTTCCTCTCTTCCTCCCCCTCTCCTCCTGATCCAGTTCACCCCAGGTCAGAGCCCCCGAGCAGCCAACGGTCTCCTGAGTCCGCCGCCGCTGGAGGACCCGGTGCGAGCCAGCCAGAGCTCCCTGTGCGACATGCTCCAGGAGAAAGAGAAGAAAACGAGCACGAGCACAGGCACCGGCACCAGTCTGGGCATGGCGGGCGGCGGGGGGGCAGCGGGAACGGGGATGGAACACTCCGCTCTGATCCAGCTGCGGGCAAAGAACTTCAGAGAAAAGAGCGACGTTCACTTTGTGGATGTTATCAGGGAGGACAGGTGAGCCAGGAGGTTGAAGGTAGAATGTATGAACTGAGTGCATTGAATTGACCAGGTGACTGAATGCAGGGATCCATTTGGTCATGAATAACATAATGTCATATTTATATTTTTGAACTTTCTAATTTATTATATGAGTGATATAAACCTCTACGTATAAACTTTTGAGGTGTCACTTAACATAACACATAGCATAAGACAGATACATACATTTACTATGTCATCTGAATGTATAAAAAAACACATGAACACAGAGACAATTATGCAAACTCACATCTTAAATGATGAATAAATACATTTGCCACACTTGTTGTCAAATTATATTGACTCTACATTCAGAGGACATATAATTCAAGTACGATTGCTGTGTTAAAACTTGCCCAATGAAATGTACGGTGGTAAGTGTAACTGATAAACAGGTTGCAAAATCCATTCTTCATAACGGTAACATCTACTCCAAATTGAGTAGATGTACAGGTAGATTCAGAAGTGGATACATTGGCACATTTTGTTAGTGAAGGTTGAATATATTTCCTATATTAATTTATGTTTTTTGTGGTTGTTCACAGTCTGATGAAGGACTACTTCTTCAAGCCACCCATCAATAAGATCAGCCTCAATTTCCTAGAAAGACCTCTGGAAAAGGCCTATCGCAGCAGCTACAAGGAGGAGGTACACACGCACACACACACACACACACACACACACACACACACACACACACACACACACACACACACACACACACACACACACACACCACACACCACCACACACACACACACACACACACACAGGACCTTTCCAATTGGCCTGCATTGACCTCAGAGCCTTACAGCCCCCTGCTGTTACACCCGTGTTACTACAGAGCTCAAAACACATATTCAATCTCAATGAACTTCATGCAAACCTACAATGATACTCAATATTGATCAGTCTTTGGCAGGGGCTTTGTGTCTTAGCTGTAAATGAATACACATGATATTAAGCCTAACTTTGCATTAGTTTAAACATTTTAGTTGACATTACATTATGTTTTTTCACTTTTATGTTTACATTGATATTCAAAAGATAGTATCCACTTAATGTGTGTGTGTGTATTTTTAATTTCAATAGTTCGTGGCACATTGCCTGACAGTACAGTGTAGAAATGACAGGAGACAAGATGTTAACTTTGTTTTTTTCTACACACTGATAATAACCACCTTTCACCATAGTAGGGCTGTACTATGATAACATTATTACTACAGTACACATAACTGCTAACATCTTGTATTTTTCTTAATTTTTTTACTCTTTGAAAGCAGAACAATAAATAAAACTGAACATAATGTTCAGTTGTTTTTGGGGTTTATTGGGAATGCATCGGACGTTCATAATATTCAAATGTGAACTGTTGTTTAAATGTAGCTGTTATATCTCAAATGATGGTAAAACACCTGTGGGTATGCAGTATGTAAGGTGCAGGCATGATTTCTCAGAACATTGACCCCCTGCTTCTCCTCAGTTTAACTCCCCTTCCTCTCCTCCAGGTGAAGGACCAGGTCCAGATGCAGACATTTGCGAGCTCCACCTTCAGCTCCTTCCTGGATGTTCTCCTCAGCTGTTTTTTCTTTTTGGCACTGACTCTGGCCTGCTTCCTTCCCCCTCTGGTGAGCCCGAAGAACGTGGGCCCCCCGGCCCCTGCTGCCCTGGCCGTGGCCCCCCCTGGCTGGCCTGTTGGAGCTGGCCTCCCTGGTGCTGTCCATACGGTGAGGAGGCTCTCAGTGCTCTCTGTGTGGGAGCTGACTAGTTTAAAAATATACAGTTAAAAAATATGTATAAGACATTACACATTCATGGTCTGAGACTTGGTTGATTTTTGCTAAACAAAATCACAAGAACTTTGTGTTTCCGTCAGATATTGTTTTCCTGGCGTGATTGAAAAGCAGTTAATATGCTATTCAGGTTTATGTTGTTGTCAGTGCTGTGTCATTATGGCCCAATGATATCTATGTGTTTGTTTCCAAATGAACAGCTGCAGTGGTGGACTGAATTAAAAGCCTGTATCTGTTGGGTCTCAGTGACACCGTATTAAAAACAACTGATGGACCATCCCATAGCACGACATATCTCAACTAAAACCAAAACTTGGTTCTTTGATTTGTTGGTTTGCTCCTGCATTAGAATGTATAAACCTGTGTTGATTTATAAAAACATGTGCAGATGAATGTGCAAAGACGAGTATTGGCGCAAAAAATTGCAAAATATACGCTGTGCAAAATTACCAGTATTTTAAGTACTTGTTTTATGTGGTGGTGTCTTATCGATGTGAATGTATCTCAGTGGGGAACGTTTGAGAAGGGATTCATTTCCATTTATTACTTTAGAAAATAAATTGTGTTTCAACATTATCTTCTAGCTGCGACTTTTACAGCATACGTTTTGTAATAAGGGATGCATCAATCTTATACTAGATATTCTGCCAATTCCTCTGGAATCAGGTATTAGTGACAATGGGTTTGATTTTAATTACACAATTACACTTAATTACATGTGTGCTTAATACGAAATGCATAAGCAGCATGCCGGTAGTCTGCATAGCTGAGTACCCACAAACGCGTCATGCCTGCTACGAGAACAAGTTCTATGGCTATGTTATGTTTAAATTAAATTCAGGCCTTCTGTTGCCTTACATACACATACTTACTCTCCTCTCCTCCCTCCCCCCTCCTCTCCTCTCCTGCAGTATGGCCTTCTATCTGGAGGAGGTGATGAGCTGTACCCGCTCTCTGCTCCTGGTGGTCTCTGGATGGGTCCCCCGTCATGTGATCGGGGCGGTGTTGGTCTCCCTCCCTGCCATCTCTGTCTTGTCCCACCTCAGCTGCAGCGTCCACTTGCCGCTCCAGGTAAAGATGTCCGTTGGTTGGTGGTAGGATAAGAACTGGAAAAGTCCTTGTGAGGATGTGTTGTATTTTATTCATCAGAGCCTTAAAACACCAAGTTGATATCTGTTTCTGATATATTGTTTCAACTTAAGGGGACAATTACGGGAATATACCTGAAACATTATGTGTGTGTTTATCCGCCCCATGATTCTGATCCACTTCAAAACTTAATCGGTTCTCCCTTGGACCATGCTTCGCCTCCTGTCGATCAGCTTTCATGAAACACGGGACAGAGAAACAGAACTAACAAGCCGTAAATGGACTACTGTTAATTCCGATAAAGTTCCTAATAGAGATTTCCAAGCTACAATGGTTTGCCCTCACTGATATTTGTAAGCCAAAGTAAGCAGAGCGGAGTCCGGGGGCTTGAGACCTTGCCCACGGTGGTCTGAAGCCAGAGATCCCTGGAGACCCTCAGAGCCGTAAACTGGCACTAGCCCTGATAGGAACTGTGAAAGGAAAACAGCTCGAGGGCTTCAGGAGGCTTTGCCTGTGGACCTTGGCAGCACAAATGTTGAGATTTCCACTTCTCCGAGTCCTGAATGTGAAAAGATTGAGAGCAGCCATACTCGAGCTGTTTTGAGTAAAGGTCATACCCGGCACTTTTAGAAGTTTTATCCTCTCTTTCCAGCTTTGTGCCAGTGGCTGCACGCAAGATGTGCGGTGTGTGATATCTTGATTTTTAGGTATTTTCAACACCCCATTTGTCTATCCATTTCTCTCCTTCACCCCGCTCTTCCTTTCCCTTACACTCTCTCCATCTCTTCGGGGCATGGAGATCAAAGTGGTAGCCTCAGGGAGGGATGTTAATTAGACACGGTCTTTCGGACTTAACTGCCTTTGAAGATAGAAGATCCAATAACAACATTGCCGGGATGTATAATATAATCATTGACACGCTGTGCATGTCACAATATTACTACTTGTTGTCTCGCTGGGTCAATGAATACAGGATCACTGAGAACCAGAATCACCACTAATTTACAATTTACATTCAAATCACATGTATCATAGAAATAAGGTACTCCCACCAAAGCACCTTGAAAAGCATTTTCTTGCATTTGATGTATGAAGATGTACATTTATAATTGTATATGCCAGTTAGTTTACGTGCAGAGAAAAGACACAAGCTGCAGTATTTCACATGGTGAGGAAAAACAAATAACGTTATTGTGTTTGGAACTAGCTTTTTTTATTCAGTAATGTGTGTATACCTCCTAATGAATATTTTGGTCAAAAACAAATTGTACATTAATAAATGAAATGAGAGTTGCAGAAAGCACAAATATCTTTAAACAAAGGCATTTCCTTTTCTTCTTTATTAAAGTCAAAAAGTACTTAAAAGCACACTAACTATATTGGGTTTTGTATGTTTTGCTTTTCACTCTCTATTTGCTCTGTTAAGCACCTAAATGACTGGCCTCTCCTCCCCAGGTGACCATGTTCCTGTGCTGCGCCACCATCCTGGCCATCATCCAGTACTGTAACTTCTGTCAGCTCAGTTTCTGGATGCGCTCCGTCCTGGCCACTGTGACGGGGGTCACCCTGCTGCTGCTGCTGTACTGCCCCGCACACAGGTACAGGAGAGCACTTGCTATTTGCTAACATACAAAAATAACACATGCAAATATAAAGTACACACAAGTTGACAGAAACACATTTTGTATAAACACACAACGTTATTAGGGGCATTTGAAAAAAATGTATTCATGTTAGTATTGAGATTCTTGTACCTTCTAAGATTTTGAAGTGATTCCCAACTTGAAAAATATTCATTAAAAAAAGGCACTTAGCCTACCAATGTCATATTTATAACTGACAGCATTCTATATTTAAACTTTGTACCCAAACGTTTTTTTTAGCATAAAGTGTTTTTTTTGCAAGTATAGAATGAATAAATGTAACCTTCTGTGTTATATTTCCCTTTTTGTATTCACATTAAGTCAGTTGACTGTTTGCAAATATAAAAAACCCATAACCTTACTATAACACACTCCACTCTGCATTCATACCACAGTTGGCCACACTTCCTTTATCAGGCCACAGCTGGCTGGAGTAGTTTCTGAAATCAGCACCTCCTTTTAGTAAAAGCTAGGAAATAGACCCATATGTGAAATATATACATAACTTATGTACAGCCCATATAATTGTTTATATACGTATCTGCATATAATCCAGATCCACCTGTGTCCTTGATGGCCATTCATTAATGCATTATTCTCCACCATTAGTTGTTTGGTGCAACATACCCCTACACATCTACCTGTTCTTCAGCCAGTAAAGAGGATTTATTATGTCCTGTTCTGTGCACAATACCTTTCTCCTGACTGACGCCACTCTTTTCCTCTTTGTTCAGCGGCGGTAATAACAGCTCGCCAGTTCATGGGTGAGTATCTCCGTGGAAGCAGAAGGGTTTGATGGATGATTGACATTTAAAGGGGTCAACCGGAGCGATGGCACTCTATTATATTTTTCATAACTACAGCTCTCTCTGGCTTTTACTCAATCTCACGCTGTCTTGCTTTATATTCACCTCCTCTCTCTACCTGTGTTTCTTCATGTGTGCACCAGCAGTAATGGCTGCTAAATGTCACGAAGTGACTCATACACCTTGTGCTGGCTTATATTTAGTTTTATAGCATTACTACACTACTGTGAAGGAGAGAGGGCTTTCTTTTATATGTGAGCATTTTCTATTGAGCACACTGTTGTTCTAACAGAATAGTTTTATGAGCATATGCTGCAGTCAGGGGACCTTCTGGTTTTTCTCCATTTAATATTAGTTTTTAAACCTGCTGGAACATGAGGTTTCTCAGGGTTTTTAAGGACAAATGATGCTTCTAGCGTCTCTTAAGATCAGTTTTCTTATATGTTCACCTACGTGCATATTTTGAGTACTTTGTTGACATTGTTAAAAGTACATCTTAAACAATGAATTGAATTTAGAAACAACACTATCTGTATTGTCCACTACAATGTTCTCTATTTTGCTATGTAAATGAAGCACATTATACACACTTTCAACAGTCTTTCTTTAGTTAAAATTGAGTTAAGATTAAATGAGCTGTCTGCATTTCAAGCCTTCTTTTCCTCTACTATGACTTCAAGTGGTGATATCCCACAACTCCCACAATGCATTTAAGTTACAACCCCAGAGGAGCATAACCATTTCATTTTTTTCTCTGTAGTGCACTAGTAGTGTGTATTGGATGTGATTTATTGACGTCAGTCGAGAAACAAGTATCCCTGCCAGATGAATGTAAACGTTGGTGTAAAATTGCGAGAATTTTACACTATCCCATTGATAGTCCAAAAGAAAATCTTGTTCTCATACCTTATTTAGGCGGCACTGCACATATTTGTTATGTCATACAACACCTCACAACAAACTGGGCCAGGAAACACAAGGTGAAACACCAGTAGCAGTTTTTGTGTCTGCGAACAGTCATGCCTCCATTTCATCTCTCCTCTTAATCCTGTCAATCATTTTCCTTCTCTGCTGTGCCTTTATTTGCTATTCCTATGCTCAGCCTCAACCCCTCTCATTTTTCTTTTGCTCTCCCCTTTTCTTTCTCAGATTGAATATCTCTTCATCCACTGTTGGCACTCCTGGCCCGGCACCTCCTAGGCAACCTCTTGACCTCCTGGTCCCAGAGGCCGTCCTGGCATTCTTCCTGCTTCTTCTCCTGGTCTGGTTCCTCAACCGCGAGTTCGAGGTCAGCTACCGTCTACATTACCATGGCAACGTAGAGGCTGACAAACACCGCTTTAAGATCCAGACGATGCGAGACCAGGCCGAGTGGTTACTGGGCAACATCATCCCCATCCATGTGGCTGACCAGCTCAAGGTTTTTGTTGTTGTTGGAACTAAAATATCAGACTTACTTGTGAAGTGTTTCAGAACAATGCTTCATATGTTTGCTTGTTTTTTAATTACATAACAAATCATATTTTAAGGAAATATTAAAATACATTATTTTTAGTTTGTTTCCTTGAATAAAAGAGATAAAAAGAGGAAAACTCATTGATCACCACTATTGAGTATAAACCCGTTTTTTAATTTTTTATTATTCAACACATTTCACTGTTTCCTCAGGTGACCCAGAGCTACTCCAAGAATCACGACAGCGTAGGCGTGATCTTTGCCAGTATCGTAAACTTTAGTGAGTTCTATGAGGAGAGCTACGAGGGTGGAAAAGAGTGCTACCGTGTCCTCAACGAGCTAATCGGAGACTTTGACGAGCTCCTTCGCAAACCCGAATTCAAAAGCGTGGAAAAGATCAAGACCATCGGGGCCACCTACATGGCAGCATCGGGGCTGAATGTCCGGGAGTTGGCTGAGAATGACAACGAGTCCATCCACGCACACCTGCGGGAACTTTTCAACTTTGCCCTGGAGATGATGGGCGTCCTGGACGACTTCAACAAGAACATGCTGGGTTTTGGTTTCAAGCTCCGTATCGGGTTGAATCACGGCCCTCTGACGGCGGGGGTGATTGGCACCACTAAGCTGCTCTATGACATCTGGGGGGACACGGTGAACATAGCCAGCCGCATGGACTCCACAGGAGTGGAGTGTCGGGTGCAGGTGAGCGAGGAGAGCCACACTGTGCTCAGCGCCATGTGCCTCGACTTTGACTATAGAGGCACAGTGAATGTTAAGGGAAAAGGTCAAATGAGGACCTTCCTGTACCCCAAAAGTGGGGAAAATATAAATCAAGATCATATAGACCTGGGCGACGGTCCCTCATCCGTGGCACCAACAGCCAATAAGACTTCAGGATCTGTTGCCCAGGCAGCGGCTCTTCCTCCCTCTTCTTTTAATCCTCCGTCCTCCTCTCTTTCTACACTCCCTCCTCAACCACAAAGGCCTTCAACAGCAGGACCTGAGTATGAGCCCACAGAGGAGAGGGAGGAGGGGTATAGGGACCCTCCACATCTTCCTGGGCAGCCCCCTGCCACAGACCGCCCCCTCCCTCCCCACTCCTCCTGGGTGCAACCTGCTCCTCTCGCGATTCAAGAGGAGGAGGATGAAGAGATGGAGGCCAACGAGCTAACAAAACTCAACGAGGAGTTTTATGCTCGACTCTGATCCACTTTCCCTGTCTTCTGCCCCCCCCCCGATGCCCACAGCTGCTGGCGCTACAGGACCGATGGCAGGTGCGGGCAGGTGAAGTGTCTTGGGCACGAATGAAGGAGAGGGAAATGAACACTAACAGTGGCTACAGTTGCTATACTGCTAGCTACTCATGTCGTTCCTGGAAAATGTTGCCTGAGTGCTGGGGAGGGAAGCCCTGTGTTGAACACAGCAGTGTTACGGGGAGAAGGCTGAATGGGCGTCAGAGAAACAAAAGTTCATTTGTTTTGTTCTAGATGTTTTTGTCTTATTCATTTTTGCTATTAAGTGCCTTCAGGACTAGATCAGTCAACGAACAAATATGAATACCGAACTAAGTTTTAACAACTTTAGACTACGGAACATGATTTCTTACTCCATGCTTTTATTTTCAATGCAAGTATTTCTTAAACAATATTGTTGTGCCATATCAGTTGTTGAAACTTGATCAAACTCTTGACCTTTCTAAAGGGAAATTATTTTAGTTTCTATGTAAGTGCCAGTGCATTATGATGGGCTGAGCAGGGAACTATGGGAAGAATGAGGGAATCACATGAAGCAGTGTTAATGTATGCTCTGCGATGACATGAGGGCTTTATACAGTATTCATTTGTGCTAGAGTTTAGGTAAAAGGGGACATGCTACAAGCAGGCTGCATAGGTTTTAGTTTGTGTAGCGGCTAAATGCAACTTTTTAAGCACAGGTCTTGCACAGTGTTTTCTCGACGACTTGTATTTGGTAGCTATTGTCGTGAAATAGCTTATACAAGTATTTCAACAGAGTCCATCACAATGAGTACAATCAAAAGCACAAAATCAAATCAGATAAGGGAATATACATTTGGAGGAACGTTTTTATTTTTAAACTGAAATCATCACAAAAGCAGGAAGGCACTTTAAATATACCTAAAGTGATACTCCATCCAAGATTCAAAGTGTTTACTGAGTAATTTTCTTATTAACAAAAAGCAAACAAGTGACAGAACCATACTCAAACATCTCCTAATCATTTCTGACTTACCTAATGTATAGGTCACAATCCCTAAAACTGGGCACTGTAGACAGTAAAGCAAAAACAGGAGGAGAGAAGGATGGGGAATGACATTTAAGAAAGGTTCGTTAGGGTTCAACACTCCCTATGCGAGGGAGTAAAAGCCCTTGGGGGCTGTAGTTCTTAGCAAATGTTTCTCAAATCAGAGTAAATACTGCATTTGTTCAGGACTGTATTTGGCTGTGGGCTAGTGAGTATTTACAGCAGCAGGACAGTGTATGTGGGCTAACTAAAGAGCCTGTTTTTGTTGTAATGAAGGAATATTGCGACTAATAAATGTGTTGTTATGCAACAACATAGCTCTAAGGCTACATTTATTCAGAAAAACGTTCCCTTTAAAGCCAACAGTGGGTTGAGAGTTTGACACTCAAAAGATCTTGCGTGGAGTATCACTTGTAGTGAGGGACAATCACTGTTGTTGATATGATAATAAAAGTGTCAAAGCACAGATCTACTACAGTTTCTGCAGTGCTGTGTTTGAAACCTCACACTCAAATTAAGTTCCATTGTTTGCCTTCATGGCCAGAAGAAAACATTGGTCAGTCCATCACTATAGATATATTCAATAGTTAAGTATTGTCTGCCTGTGTGGGACATTTTTCTTGTCACAGCCTTTATACGGAGGGGGCCCTCTACTGTATCAATATACTTACATTGTGCCACTTTAATTGAGTGATCTATAGGTGCAGTGCAACCTAAACTAGCTGATTGTTTTGTGGTGCCTACAAAGTATGACTGTATTTTTGGAGTATTTTGGTTTTCAGAAAGTTTTCTATCATGCTGTTTTCATACTGACAATAGATTATGATTGTATGTTTGAGAAAAGTATGCATCTTTCTGTGCAGGTTTAGCTTTTTTGTAAAATTCCATCCTTTTTTCTTTTTCTTGCTGTTTTCCAGTTTCTTTAATTATCTGATTAACCAGTCACCTTGAATAGTGCTGTGTTTAGTGTTGTCATTGAACTGCTGGCATCTCTGTAGTTCACTTTGCTCTTTTACTCACTTCATGCTTCTTTCTTTACTCCTTTAAGCACTCGTTTCCCCTCACATTTTGCGTGTATGTTTGTGAGAAAGATATTTAATTTCTTATCCAAGTCAATCACATGTTGAAGATCACTGCAATATGATGCAAAAAACAAATCAATCACTAACATGGCCGCTGTTAAACATGTAGCTGTTGCTGCCTAATATGTAAACAAATTACATAAACAATGTTGCATTCAAAAAAAGCCATGAAGTTTGTCCTCTGCAAACCATATCGACATAAAGTATCTGTAGCATGAAAATAATCTTAGTTTACCTCTGCCATTAATCATACACATCTTGTGCCTTTGTTTTAGTAATATCTGTAATCATAGTTTGAGAGCTGTGATTATTTGTATCAAATAATCAAGAAGACCCAAGGAGCTTAAATACCCTGAAAATCCAAAGAAGTAAAGACACAAAAATAGCTACACAAGATATTTTCTAACATGCACATCTCTCATTGTAATCACCTCTTATACATATTCTTAACACGCTCAAGTTTGCCAAACCCAATAAACCTGACCACAGAAAATTATTTAAACAGATGATGATATAAGGTATCAGTTTTTAAGAAAAATCAATCCTTGGTGTCATTTAGCCATAGCGTACACAGCAGTAACAGAAACAAGTCATGATTCAAGGAGTGGGGCTCCACAGGGCACAACACCCCTCCAGTAGCGTACATCTGTACACGTATGAATCAAATATTAAAGTGAACACTACCGTCTCTGTGATCTGTGACACAGTTTGGCGGCGAGAAGTGAGTGCGATTTTCAATGCATGGAAACAAGTTTTATTTTTTTGCCAGAAGACACTATAATTTTCTTTGTGACTCTGCAACATACTATCATCTATTTTGTCATTTTCATTCTTTCTAAAATTATGTTGATCATTAAGAATGTATTGGCTACATGCAGGATCCTCCAAATCACTACGCTTTGCTCATTTTAAGTAACTTGGATTTTATTATTTTCTGACAGTTGGTTATTAGATGATGTGTATGAAAATATTTGTTTTAGTTTAAGCAGAAGAAAAAAAAGTGTCCTTTGATGTCGTTTTAAAATGCAAGAAAACAAAGCCAAGTGCATTTAGTCGTCCTTTGTTGAAGAAATGCAATTTTGCTTTGTTAAAAAATAATGAAGGGAGATTGTGTCAGTTGCACTTGGTATAATCATAACACCCAAATAACATTGCCTAATCACTAATTTAAATGGTGACTTTTCCACATCTTTTCATTATAAATTCATCCTTGATGTGTTTTTTAATTACACTGGGACGGAAATAAGTCTTTTGATCGGAAAACGTTGTGTATTTGTTTTTATGTCCATGAATGAGATTATTCAGAAAAAAATGAGAGTATTATGTATGTTTTGTGCACATTACCCATGTATCATTTATCACCACATGATCGTAATTTGTACACATTTGCACAAAGCACTCAGTGTTTGTACATATGCAGTTATTTTATGTCACATATGATTTTTTTGTATACTTGTGCATGTGTCAGATTTTGCCAGAAAAACAATGAAAAAGCGACACGTATTATAAAAATTGATTGAATTTGTGTCTGTTTGAATTAGTGTGAATGTTGTGATTTTATAACTCTTTAGTATAAGAGAAATACATCTTAAAGCAGAGAAAAATTGAGTGCGCTGTGAAGTATAAAGTAAAAATTAGTTCAAGAGTCAAACCACAAATGCAGATAAACCTAATATTTAGACTGAATTATTTATTTTGTTTTTAAATCGCTGTGTAAATTAGAGATATAGGCAGTCAAGATATATTCACATTGCTGCTAGTTGGCTAAGTTTAAGGAAAGCCAACATTGGTAATGAACACAGCTTACATACGTATATTTAGTGTTCTTACTAAATATTATAAAAAACCTAAATAAATAAATGATTTGCTTTTGACAGCTGCAGTTTAAGTTACTTTTAGGAGCGAAGAAAAAGAAAAGTAATAGTAGAGAGATATAAAAATCAGCCAGGAAGAGTGGAAAGTTCAACAGAAGAGATGAGTAAAATGTGATCAGAAAATGAATATTTGGTAGGCTATGTGTATTTTCGTTTTGGCTGTGCTCATCTGCAGGGAGGAATAGCATGCACACATTTCTGCTTTAACTTTGTAATGTAGAAATAAACGCTATCTTAATTTAAAAAAAAATCCAGTTCCTGTGAAATGTTTACCTAGGTCTTCTAATTTAATAGATAATCTAGTTTACACCATGCTTAAAAAATGTTTCACTCTTTTTAATAAAAAGGACGGGTGATGCTAATACCATCATAGCGTTCTACTCGTTGACTATATCCAGAGCCGTAATATATATATATAATATAATATAATATATGACACAATATATAGAGTATAATATATCATAACAGTATTTATTTTAATGTCTTATGTTATAGACTAGAAGATGGAATTGTGGTAGTTTAATTCTTAAAATTACATGAAATACAGAACTAAAATAAATATGCAAACTAGATTTAATTTTAACATGATATTTAATATACAATTTAACTTTAAATTAAAATATGTATAAATGTATGAAGTGCCTGTTGGAATGTGTCTGGCGGTGCTGGAGCGCCCCTCGCGGATTATGTCCTCGCTGCTTTCACGTAGGGCGTGATAGCGCGGCCCCTCCCCCTCCACAGACGATCGGGAAAAGAAAAAAAACTTTTTTGTATCGAAGGAATCAACAGCCGCCATCTTGTCGTGGCTCGGAATTAGGATTTCGGTTCAACACTGGTTTTTAGATAGAACATCGAGCATCCTGACCGCGATCTGACAGCGTCCTTCCCCTAAAAACGAAATCTTAACATCCCCTCGGAGACATTTTGTGCGAAAAAACGGGGATTTGATCGGTGGTCGTCGGGCAAAAAGGCTCCGTATATCTGATTTCCCCTTCAGAGTGCGGCGATTCAGCCACTGTCGCCGTCCAGGAGCAGTATTGTTTACCGTGAGCAAGCGGAGACAAGATAGTGACTTTCGAGTTGACTTGCAAAAATACTGCATTTTTATGCAATTGTGCATTTTTGTGGAGCTTCGCGCGATTTTTGCATGAAGAAATTTGACGTCACGCAAAATGGGTACTTGGAGCATCTAGACATTACGATTCTCCCACGGAGTGCAGCAGTCCTGCGGATTATTATTATTACAGTGTCATTTTGATTTTCGATTTTTACATGGGGGATATTTTATTTTGGTTTATTTAACGATAATAATGTGGGTGTTGGGTGTTGGATTATCATGGGGTGAATGGCAGTGGCGAAGCGGGGCGCTGTTGCATCTCTTTTGAAAGACTCGCAGCAAGCTAACGCTAACAGTTAATTTAGCTAGTAGCAGGCAATTAGCTAGCTATTAGCCAGTTAGCTAACGCTAGCAGGCTGCCAGCTTGCTAATGTGTTAACCGGGAAGCTTCGGGTTGATACAACAACTTCCCTGTCATAAGGTAACAATATTTATCAAGTTAAGTAACGAGCCGGGCATAGAGAACAACTATGGCTGATAACCTGCTGGACGTCGGACCTCCCAACTCTAAGCGGCCGAAGCTGAGTTCACCTGCCCTGTCAGCGTCGGATGGACCAGGTAAAGGCCTCAACAATGTCACATGTAATACACCCATATCAAGAACATTCACACTTCACATTGCCGTGTGAGCTTGTTTCTTAAATGTATGTAACACGTTTCATTCAGGCCAGCTCGCTGTGCTGAGCTGTGTGTTGATGTTAGTTACTGAGGGTTTACTGCATTTACTGCAGTGTTGTGGTTTGGTTCTGTGGTGAGCAGGTTACACTCCAAAGCCAGTATTTTAGCTACACTTGCCCTGTGTCAAGTCAGTCTAATACAGTCCTGCACTGAACCCTACCACCATGTGATATTACTCAATGCAATTTAACAGAGCTACACAGTAGGTCCACAATGACTTGATATATTACATACAACTGAACATCGTTGAATATTGTAAATATCTTGCAGCGCGGCTTCATGACACGGCACTAGTTCTAACTGGTTGTATCACACAGGCAACCGAGTATGTGTATGTTAGCAAAGCATTTATTATATCTGCTTGACTCTGTTTCTACAGTGAACTGCTCACTTTTTAAAGTTAGTTAAACACTTCATCATAGTTCTGATGCACGTATGGTCTTAGACCCTGATGCCCATACTTGATATAATGCCAAATCCATACTTATTCTATCACCAGATGCCATATCAATGCATGGCACACTGTTAATTTAAATGTCTTAAATAGCAAATGTTCTTGCTGGATCTATTAAAGCAGTTGCTCATTTTTTAGAATTTTTTTAATTTATGTATTGCTTTCAGTGTTCAGGCCATTGTAAAGTGATGATGCCAGGGAGACAAGAAAAAAGTGTGACAGTGTTGATTACTGGGGCTCATCTCAGCTGCCAAATATAAAAACATTAAGCACAGAGACGAAAACCCAAACATTCATAAGCAAGCATATGAACCGCTGAGTAGTCTGTGAGATTTCTCCCTGTACACACCTGCACTGTGGAACTGTTATCAAAACAATCCATGTGTAGACAATGTATCAATATGTTAGGAATATTGTGATATGTCACCAAATCTGGAAACTATGTGAAAGCACTAATAGTCCACCCTACAACATTAACGTTATGACTATATGGATGGAGGTATTTGGTAAAAAATATCCTACCTGGTGTATGGATATACATATATGGTTCCTCTATATCAGGGGTGCCCAACCTTTTTTGAACCGAGAGCTACTTTTAAAGTTGCCAGTCTGCCGAGATCTACCAGTCCAAATAGAGAGGCGTAGCCATTACTGACAACCAGGTAAATACACACTTCTACTTGTGTAAAACTGACCTTTGTACGATTAATACTTCATAAAATACTGCAGATCCTTTATCTTACCTCTTTCTAATCTACACACATACAAGTATTTAACTGAAGTTACACAACAGTGTTGTTGATACAGAGTTGGAGTTTATTCACACGTCACATACTACAGTGGGTAATGTTTTTAAGAAATATTGAACAGTGCTGCCACATATGACACAGGAAGAAAAGAAAAGACTCTGAACCCTTTCTTTGCCATTATATAAAAATAGTGTTGCTACAAAAGTATAAATGAGGCTTACTAATAAGACAACTCAGATCTGAAGCTACACAGGAATCTGCTGCCAAAGTGCAATAAAAAAGACAACATTAATAGAATCAAACCCTTTTTATTTGTTGCATTTTGGTAGAGTATAAAAAGAAATGCCTTTTTTAAAATAGGATGCAAGCAACACTAGTTTCTTAACCTGAATTGATAATAGACTAGTGTTGTCACGATACCAACATTTTGGTTTCGATACCGATACCAAGTCAAGAATTGCGATTCCGATTCTTTTTCGATACTTTTCTTAAAAAAAGGGAAACGGTCTTAAATGTAATTATTGTGCTTTATTTCACACCAGAACCATAACACAAACTTTTAAACAATAAACAAAATAAATGACAATAATTCATATTAAATAAAATGAAGCATCATCTCAAACAACTTTTTTGTTTTATAAAATATAATTTTTTTTATATTTTATTAACATGTAATAGTACAGTAATATTAATAATTATTGACAAAATGTATATTGCAGATGTTAGCCACATTGGTAAGTTAGCTAAAAAGATAGCCATATTAGACAGTTATCATTGCCATTAATTGCCTCGTCAAATAAATTACACTGGTTTGACTTAGATTTGAGGGCATGGCTTGAGCATGATGTAATTATGTTATCTATCACATTCGCTAACCTGTCTGTCTTTACATTCGTTAAACAGCTCTGGATTCTGGTGTTGTGCCGTAGATTGAAGCCCTGCTCGCGGGGACGCGCAAACGTGACGTCATCGCCTGTATTGAGCGTTCGTCTAGTTTAATAAGCTTTTGTCTCTCTTTTGAATGATATATTTCCCATCAGATTAAACAGCAAACGGCTGAATAAATAATGTGCATAATTGCGAGGAGGCTCGTTTTAAGGACACTTTTCAGATCTGTCACAATCTTCGTATTGGAACAAACTTCCGTTTTTGAGTGCAGTCCCACTCTGTTATATTCCTCCTTCCTACAGAACAGGATAATATGTCATTTGTCAGTATAGTCATATTTCTTAAAACCTTCTCTGTTGTTTAAGTGTCTGATAACCACGAATAGTAAGCAATTATATGACAGTAATGATATAACATATGTCAGACACTGTGTTATTTTCAAGCAAGCCTAAAAGATAATGTGTTCAAACTGGCTTCACTCGCTTTTAGGGATGTCCCGATCACCTTTTTTTGCTCCCGATCCGATTCCGATCATTTGATTTTGACAATCTGCCTATACCGATTTTTCCCGATCTTTATGCAATGCATTAAGAGAAAAAAAAGGTAAAAAGCATTGAAGTTGTCCCTTAAGGTTATTTTTTTAATTTAAATGACAGTACCCAACTATCCATTCTATCCAACATGGATATAGCTTCTTTTTTTCACAGCAGCATTGGATCAGTTCAGTTGTGCAGCATTGGATCAAAACAAAATAAAGCTCATCAGTGGTCCACCACAAAATAACCATGTAAACAAATTGAGTGCAGAAAGTGCAGTGACAAAACAAAAATAACTCTACTGGAAAGAGGTAGCTTGACTAGCTTCACAAGTTCACATTCAGTCACAAATAATGAAATAAAAATGTGGCCTAGTGCAGAATTCTAGCCTTAAGACTAACTAGTCTAGTAATAATGCAATGAACAACAGCAGCTTAACATAACATGAATAAACAAAGTATTATATTTCCATCTTACTGGAGTAACACAATTCAATAGTAATCAGCAGCGAACCACTTCAACACGTGTGTTTCGGTGTATTCACGGCATTCATTTTGTTATTCTACAGTATTGTTGTTTTATAGTTATTTGTTAATGTAACCCAATTTGTGTTCTTTGAAATTGAAAAGGATATCGCATTGTGTTTGTTACTTTCGTTGCAGTTGTATATGTCTTAAGTGTAATTTGGCTTGGCTTCTTATTTGTGGACATGCTTTTATTTTGAAGGAGAGGTAGCGCTGTTGACAGGAAGTTGTTGTTGCTTTGGAAACAACGTGACGGAGATTAATGGAGAAAAGTAATATCTACATATAAAGACGGAGAAAGTAAACGATAACGTTTATGGTTAAGTGTTAGCACCCCCCAAAGAGGCACAAGCTCTTACGTTGATATTGGAGATTTCAATAAATTCAATTTGAAAAAAAAAATGGGGAAAAAACAAACAAAACGAATTTCCGAATAACGAAATTGAAACCCGAATAGTACTCCAACAAACGAATATTCGGATATTCGGGTACAGCCCTAGTGTAGGCTACTCGCCGTGTTGTTGTTAGTGTTTGTTTCTCAGGTGAAATTAGATTGGTCGTGTTGAACGTAGCTCTGTTCTTTCCACCACGCGGAACCTCCTTCTTGCAAACATTGCATCTGGCTGTTACACTGCCTTCGCTTTCAATTTTATAATACTTCCAAACTGCTGACATTTTCTCTGTCCCGACTCCCGAGTCACCAGCTGAACGTAGCCTCTCGTTAGCTTACTGCTACTATTAGACACTGCGCCCACTCTGTTGCCAGATTTGAGAGAAATAAGCAACTAGGTCTATGAAAACAAGCCCAAAAGAAGCAACACATACATGATGTTGTGTAATTTTAAACCAAAACTAAGTCCTCAGGATGACTTTAAGACGTGAACATGGTCATTTTTGTTTTGTAACACTAAATAAAAAAATTATTTAAAAAAAAAAAAAAAGATTCCCGATCCCCGATCTTTTTCTCCCGATTCCGATCTTTTAAAAATCACGTGATCGGCTCCGATCCCCGATCACGTGATCGGATCGGGACATCTCTACTCGCTTTAATTGCTCCTTTGAATGTAATTTTCCTCTGTGGTTTCCTACTCAACACATGTTTGTATTGTAATGCCACTCATATTTTATTTTTTATTGTATTTTAAGGTGACATTGAATGCTTTGAAAGGTGCCCTAAAATAAAGTGTATTATTGATCTTATATCTGTGCCTATATCACACTATTAATTAGTGGTGCACGATAATTATCGGCCCGATAATTATCGGTCCGATATTAGGAATTATGACGTCATCCCGATAAACCCGATAACAGTATTAATAGCCCCGATAATATACAATATATTTTTTGGGTAAAAAAAAAAGAAAAAAATACTGCGGTGTGGGTGGATTGTGATGAAGGGCGCTTGTTTTTCACTCGGCTCCTCCCGTTTTGCCAGTACTGTGGTATTAGTGGTTTAGGAAGAGGGGAGTTTTTCACAAATCCAGCGCTCCCTAACTCATGCCTGGCTGTGACGTAAATGGTGTGCGGCCGTGAAGCCAGTACAGTAAACAAACATGTCGCCGGTAGTATGGGACTATTTCAAAGTTTCAGAGTTAGATAGTTCGCTTGCTATTTGTGTTAACAAATGCAATGCAGAAGTTCCACGAGGAGGGAAAAAGGCAACGAGCTATAATACTTCCAACCTGATTAGTCACCTGACACATCGCCATCGCTACGATGGTGTGTTAAA